GCCCATCCAGACCATACCCGCGGGCAGCGCCGCGGGACCTGGAGGGGCACCTTACGAGATTCTCGAGAAGCCCCCGGGGCCTGCGCCAGGATCCCCCATCCTGTTCCGCTTGAGGCGGGTCTTGCGGGGAGGGGCCGCTGCTTTTTCAAGGAAGGTGGGGTGATAGACATTTCGAAGGGTGAACCTCAAGCTGTCTTTGCCTCCAGTCGGCGCAGTATCCCCCGTGGGAATGCGATTTGCAAGTTGCATCATAGGTTCCTGCGTGGTCTCCTCAACACAGCCATTGCGGCGGGCTTGCAACATTCCCAACGCGGAGGAGTAGGGGGGAGCACGGATTTCGCGACTCATTTTGTGGCCACCCGACTGTGTGCCCAGCTTGCTGACAAGACTTCGGCCTTCGCCTCGAGCATAGACCTCGTGGCAGCATGCTATACCACGATAGGGCAGGCCGCGACGTCTCTTGCTGCCGAGGAGGAGCTGATTTTCAGAAGGCGATGGCCAGCCTCACCGCTCACCCAGCTCTAGAGTTTGCTGCACGGAACCTCGCCTCCACCCCAGTCCTTGGTTCCCTTGTCTCTGACCAGCACCTGCGTGCACTCTGCGCTGAAACTCAGCCCCTGGGGTTTTGGAACGCGCGCGAGGTCGAAGTTTGCACGCGGCCCATGCTGGGCTGCAAGCCTGGCACCGTCACGGCCACGGACGTTTTCAATCTCGGCGTCGCCCCCTCTCCGGTGAAAACTCAGAATCACATTTCAGATGAGCATCTGGGCCGAGGCCGCCAGCTGACAGACCTCGCGTCCTTGCTCGGGATAGCGGCCACGATAGTCCCCGGGGCATGGGATCCCCCGCGGGTGATCAACGATAGTCGGTGCCTCTCCTACCCCCGCGCCCCTGCAGGGGTGCGCCGCCGCGGCTGCTGTCGCAGTTGAGCGCGCGGTATTTGCCCCTCCCCTCGGGAGATGCCATTGGCGTTAGACGGGCCGCGACGTGCCTCGGGACCCTCTTGGTGACAAGGGTTCGTTTGACGCCGAAATTGCCAGCAGGACTGCGCGCACGCGAGCTGAAACGCGGCCCGTTCAAAGAGCCCCTGGGGCCCGCGAGGCCATAGAAAACGGCGAAGCGCATGCGTTATCCCCCATGTACTTTCGCACTGCTGCGTGGTCGTCGCTGTCGAGTCGCGACATGAAGAAGTTGCGGAATGCCCAAGTCTTTCTGTTCAGGGGGGCTCTCGGGATGTCTCTGAGCGACCATGCTGACGCTCACGTCACTCATTCTGAGGTTCTGCACATGGCAAATCGGCTTGACGCTGGGCAAGTCATGCAGGTTACGCGGTTAAAATATCTCACCAGGTTGTAGGCGCGTGCTCCGTCAGATCTGCGAACGGCTTTAGACTTCCTTCTTGCCAAAGGTGAAGGCTGGCCTGCGATGCTGTGCCAAGATTTGCAGTGACTTAACCGATTCAGTAAGAAGAAGGAAATTCCTGGACAGGGAACCCTAGCATGCTGGATCGGTGCGTGCCGTCTTAGACCCAGGTCCTTTCGCACCCACGTCAGGAATGTGGCCTCTCGTGCCCATTTGTGGCAGCACCAGGAGGAGGAGGGGGGGAGGATATGTGCCAAGTTAACGGAGGCTGTGCTCTTGGGTTCACCATGGGAAATTAGCCAACAAGGTTCTGATGATGCCGAAGGCTTGCTTCCCCACTTTGTGTGCCATGAGTGTGGCTTTTTTTTCCACGGAGAATAAGAGAACGATGACCATGCATACGCATATGAACCGTGAACAGTAAACAAAAATGAGACAGTGGAAGCCTGGGCTACCACCTGCCAATCCTGCCTTAAAGATATAGGTTGGTCGTCCATCTCCACAGGACCTTTCGTTGTAGAAATAGATGACTGCAATGTGGGATCCGTGCTGGGAGGGAGGAAGCGGAAGAATGGCGTCTGCTCGCCCTTTCGACGCAGGCCGAGAACAGGAAGACAGGACTGACTGGCAATCATGCCTCGGAACCTGAAAGGAGAGTGTTCGGGTCAGCTCATTACATGCCTGCCCAACAGAGGCAGGTTGTTTCGGTCGGATGCCCCAGTGTGTTGATGCATCCATGTTCGCATGCTCCTGTGCACCGTCTCATGCCCATTCCAGGAGTGCCCTGGAGATGCAAAACACTTGATTCTCGTGCTTGGGCTGAGTCCTGCCACAGATAAAATTTCCCTGCTGGCCATTCTGAGAGGTTACACCGTTTTGGATGTTCCCATTTGTAAGTTGAAGAACTCGGTTGCCGTTCTGTTGGCCCTGGGAAGAGCCCTCGGCCTCATCTGGGTCGCGGGAAGGCCCTCTTGGGCTGACCCCTCCGTCCTCGGATCCGCGAGACCCAGAGGCATGATGCGTCCGCTTCGTTCCCGTTCGTCGCGCTGGGGGAGGAGGGATCTCTCAGCCGCCGAAGCCCAGATCCAGGGAGACGGGAACCAGCTGCACAGGGCCGCGGGAGTGTTGCATGCTGCCGCCGCTGTTGGAGGAGTGACATTTGTTTTCGAGGCTCTCGCTCCCTCCGTTGTCTCTTCTTTCAGCTTGGGCCCGCTGAAGGACCTGGTCAGACCAGACACAGTGAAAGGTTCCACTTCAGGAGCCAGGCTCATGGCATGCACTGCGGAAAGCTTCCACCAAGGAGGCAGCATTTGCGAGAAGGAATTGATGCTGCAGTTGCTTCCTCCTGTCCACTCCTGTCTGCCAGACGCCCTTATCCAGTGCGTCCGTGGCCCTCCTGAGGAGGCCTGGGGGGAGCCTGACAGGATGTGGTCGTGGGCCTGACGCCCCTCCTCTCTTGACCCCGATTCCGATTCCGACTCCGAGGAGGAGGAGGAGGGGGGAGGGAGGAGGGAGGAGGAACAGGAGGAGGAGGAGGAGGAGGAGGAGGAGGAGGGAGGAGGAACAGGAGGAGGAGGAGGAGAAGGAGGAGGCGTCGCCAGCGCTGCACCGCGCGCGAGAGAGAGGCGAGGCCCGCCGGCAGAGGCGGCCTGGCGCGCGCGGCCAGGCGGCACGGGGCGGGGAGGACGCCGAGCGCGCGCGAGGGCGGAGCGGTGGGCGGCGGGCCTGCGCCTCCACGGCCAGACAAGCGCGTTCCACTACTCGCAGAGTCGCTACTCGCAAATGGCCTGGAGCCGCCGCAGGGAGTGTACGATGCACTACGCGCAAAGGCAGGCGTGTGGTTTTTTCGGACGTTTGCGAGTGGGCACCCTGCGAGAAGTGGAACGCGCTCGGCGAATGGCGGCGCACCACCCAGGGCGGCGATCCAAAAAGAAACGGGTCTTGCGCAAGATGGTCCAGGGCTTGACCTGAACAGCGTTCTTCGTTTTCGTGTTGCTTCCGATGTTTCCCACGTGTTGTCTCAAGCTCGCCTCTGCTGCAGAGCGACCTCAAGACGAAAACGGCCCACGAAATCGCCAAAACACCGTTGAGGTCCACCCCTGAGGTGGCGCAGCGACCTGACGCGGCGGTGTGCGCGGGCCGCCAGCGCGGCACGCCACCTTGGAAACGAGGGCGCTTCCGCTCGACCTCATGCGGGGAGCTTACGCGCCGATGTCTGCGCAGACGGCCCCTTGTTTTTTGTTGTTGGCGTCGCTCGCCCTTTGTGTTTGCTGCCAGCGCGGCTGTACCCAGTGAGAGCACCAAGGGGAGGGGGCCGAGCTGATGTCCGCCAACGTGCTGTAGGCGTCGAGCGAGGGGGGAAGTGAGAAGGAGAAGGCCTTCTCAGAAGGCAGCCGGACTTCTCAGAAGCCCTCGCGCCTTCTGGGAGGTTTCTCTCTGTCTCTGGGGAGGGCTGAGAATCTTCTCAGAAGGCCGGGGGACCTCGGAGACTTCTGAGAAGGCCCGCCGCTTCTCGCTTCCCCCCATCGCTCGCCGCCGAATGACAGGAGTGCACTGATCTACCTTTGGTGTGGATACTCTGTGGGGGGGGGACCCCACAAATCATGGAACCCCCTGTGCGCAGTGCCCTCTCGCGCGCTCCTGGGGCTTCCCTCGCGTGGCTTCTCCAGAGACCTCGGGAGCGTGGTCGGGGTCGAATGGTTTCAGGAGGCAATGCTGGGGCTCTCTCGGGAGCCTCTAGAGACCAAAACCACAGAGGAGCCTTAGGACATCGTCTTCACGGCACCCAAGACGACACGAGAGGCCCCAGAGACCCGCCAAACAGGACACCAGAGGCCCCCAAGAAAAGACCTGTAGGCCACCAAGAGGCCCCCAGAGGGGCCCAAGAGACCCCCAAGAGGGGCCCGAGAGGGGGGAAACGAACTGGCACTTGGAGCCCTTCACCCTGGTTGGCCCTCGCCTGGTTGGCCCTCGAGACCGCCAGCAGGCCCAACAGGCCCCCGAGAGGCCCCCCAAGAGCATCCAAGAGGCTTCTTGACACGACTCGGGCACGGTCGCGGGATGGGCCAAAACCAACAAACAGTAGGTAGCGACCAATGCCGCGGCGCTGGCCTACATGTCCAAGCCTACCTCGATAAGCACGTTGAAAGAAGACTCCAGAGCATCGCACTCGGATACGAAAGCCCCCCTCCCTCACCCTTCCCTCCCTCCGTTTCGTTGTTCACCCATTTCCCCACCTCCCTCCTCTCATCCCTTCTCCTCATCATCATCATCCTCCCACCTTCCCGAGGGCTCCTCGCGAGTTTCGACCGCCATCTCCACAGGGTCCACTTCGATGCGATCGATCCGATCCGATACCTCGAGGGAGAAAGCACGGCATACACCTAAACTTTCGACGGTCCGCTCGGATCTCTTGGACCTGCGCTGGAGGAGGAGGAGGAGGAGGAGAATCAGAAGCCCCCTCCCTCCCTCCACCGTCTTCGGCAGGACGGGGCTCAAGGGAGCGCGGTTGCGCTCGCGGCGCCCTGAAAGCCTCGACCATCGCCCCCCCCCCCCCCCGCAAGCTCCACGGGAGGAAGGGGCACGAAGACGAGGAGGGAACGGGAGGGAGGAGCTGGCGGTGGCACTGCCGCCGCGTCCTTGACGAGGGCGAGCTTCCTGTGCGCGTTCCAAGCGGCACAGATCTGGGTCCGGTAGACCTTGACCGCGTCCTGGGGGGGGCAAAGGAGGACAAAGGCCCCGTCAGGAGCCAAGAAGGACGCCAAAAATGGGATCGCGCGGCGAGGAGGCGTGGAGACGAAGCAGGGGGGGGACGAAGAGGAGAATGAAGGAGATGAGGGCGGCGACTTCTTTTTGGTATTGCTCGTCATGGTTTCTTCTTCGACGCCTCGGCCAGAGGAATATACCCACCAGAGCCTTCAAACGAGAGGCTCAATGAGCTGCTGCGCTCTTCCTTGTCCTGGGATGGCGAATGGATGCGGTTGAACGGGCCAGAAGGCCTGATGGCTATACTAGGCATTCGGGCTATTAACAACCAAATCGATTGGGGCTCGGCTGGGAGCCCGCGGCCACTGACGTCTCCCGAATCATGCATCGGTCGACTGACCTTTGACCCAGGGCTGCAATCCTGAGCCTGCTGCATGCTGAGACTGATTGCTGTGCTGTCGTTGCTGTAGCTGCGTCTTCGGCCACCGCTGGCATCCTCGGCCGCGGTCCGAGCGGCAGACCGGGACGCGCAAGCGCCAGTCGAGCACCGAGGGTCGCGAGGCGGCGAGGAAGACGGCCGCGGAGGAGTGACGGAGGCGGAGAGGGCGCTACGAGCAGGCAGAGCTCCGCGCGCGGTGCTGGCTCTTCTGGGCCTCCGGAGCAGTGGCGGCGCGCGCTGGAGGAGGGGGGAAGGCCTCTCAGAAGGAGGCTGCTTCTTTCAGAAGACGCTGACCTCACATCTATGGTCATGGTCCTGTTCTGAACGTGTAGTTGGGAATACGCCTATACACGCTAAGTGCTTCACCCGACCCTACTTAGCGTATACGCCCTGGCGCTGCTTGGTGCGTCAACGGCCCTGGCGCTGCTTGGTGCATCACCTACACGCCGTATGGATAAGGCATGCGCCTTCTAAGAAGCGGGGGTGTTTCTGAGAAGCCCTCCCACCTGGCCCCACCCCTGCGCGTGGCCGCATGCCCTGTGCGCCCGGCTCCACCTGCGCGCTCCGCGCGCGCGGCGGGCTGCCGCCAGAACACCTCGCGCTTCTGCCGCACGGGGAGGCTGTGCCCAGGCCCGTGCGCCAGTGTTCGGCTCGGGTCTCGAGAGGAGGATGTCAGGGTCCTCCTCGATCCTCCTCCTCCTCCTCCTCCTCCTCCTCCTCCTCCTCCTCCTCCTCCTCCTCCTCCTCCTCCTCCTCCTCCTCCTCTGCGGTTGGCTGAGAACAGGCAGGGTGGCCAGGGGGGCAGCAGGGGCAGGGCGGGGTCGCGCGGGCACGGGGGCGGCGGGGCCACGGGCCCCGCGGGGGCGGCGGGGGGCAGCGGCGAAAGGCGGGGGCCGCGGAGCCACGGGTCCCGATGGGGCGGCGGGGGGGGGCAAGCCTGGCTTCTGCAGGCATCGTGCTGCCGTGAAGAACGCCGAATCGGGAACGACATGGGACGCAGAAAGACACTCTTGGGGCTGATACTGGAAGCGCGCGTCGGGCACGAACGTGTCGTACACCAATACTATAGCATACCGTTTCCCCAGGGGCCGCACGAATATGCCTCCCGGGCGGGCTCCAAGGAACGGCTCGAAAACCAGAGCCCCTCCTGCGCCCAAGGCGGTCCTTATTTCGGCGCCCGACTGCAAGGGATGCACTGAACTGAGCTGGACTGAAGCGCCGTCTCCACGACGCATCGACTGCAATGCTGTCCTGGCCGCCACGGGAAAAATCATAGTTGCAGTCGCAGCGTTCTCGCTCACGCTCACTGTAGGGGACGCATAACAAAATCGCAAAACGCCCCGGCGGAGAGAATCGAGCCGCCGGCTCGGCAGAAGCAGGGTGCTCTCGCGCAGATGGCCGGCTGGTTCGTGGTCCCGCGCTGCCCGGGGGAAAGGAGAGGAACGGGATCGGAGAGGACGGAAGGATGGCTGGACGAGCTTGAGGCACAATGGCTTTCGGGCGCCTACAGTCGGACTTGATTGGACAGGATACGCGAGAGGACACAAGACCCTTGCGAGGGCCACATTGTCATAGGAACGTAGGAGGCATGGTTTGCAAGACAAGGGACTCACGGGCACCCTAGATTTCACAGGGTTGACCTACTAATCAGGGCTGGCCGTCAACCCCATTGATGGGCCCAGCTTCCTGGAGTCACCACCTCGTCGGGCAAGGTTGCCTGATGGTGCGGACGGCCTGGTGCCATCGTGGTCCAGACCGCACGGAACGAGGTCGTTCTGAGCCGGGAACCTGCCAGCGTCACAGGAAGGCTGCAAGAAGGTCCCAAGAGGGCCCCTAGGGCGGTCACAGGAGGTGGCGGGGCGGGGGGACGAGCATTGAGGGGAGAGGGGGCGGTGGACAAGAAGGGAGCCCTTTTCTCCCCTCCGCTGCCCCGTCGCCTCCGCACCTCCCCAGCAGTCCCTTCACTCCCCGTCCCTCGCATCCCCCGTCCTCTTCCCTCCCATCCCCTCCCACACGCATACACAGGCATAAACTGTTGGAGGCTCACGCGGAGTTCTCTTTGGATCTGCGCTGCACCCTCCTCTGTGGCGCACGGAGCACGCCAGGGCCGCCGCCAGGGAGGCCCCCGCGCAGATCCAAGAAATCTGCGCGGACCTCCCAAAGTTTTTACCCATGCTGTTGTGTTGCCCCCCAGCCGCCCGCCCCACCCCCTGCTTCGGGAGCTGCGACAAGACCTGACCCAAAAAAAAACTCGTTTCGCACGATGGGAAACGGCACCCGTGTCCTTTCTTCTCCTTAAAGAGGGGGAGGAAGAGGAGGAGGAGGAAGAAGAGGAGAAAGAGGAGGAGGCTCGACCGGGGCCCGTGCCGCACGCGCGCATGCGACCACGCGCCACGAACCCTCCCAGCAGTCTCCAGCTTTCGGGTCCCCCGCTCAGCTCCCTGGCGTCTGCTCGAGAGGAGCTGGGCACCCCGGGAGCGCTCCTGGCGAAGCGCGGCTGCAGGAGGGCAGCCCGAGGCTGGAGGGCCGCCGAGAGCCCACAGAACCAATTGAGAGCCTCGAGCCTCCAAGCCCATGAGCCTGTCCTAAGAGGCCCCCATACAGTGGAGGCCAGTCCACAAGAAACCTTCCACAAGAAACCCAAGCCTGATACCCCAGGACGTCCATTGATTTTTGGTGTGGGAACGTCACGCCTTCCATAGCAAAGCCATCGAAACCCAAGAGACCCAGGGCACCCTGGAGGCAAGCAGAGTGTTTCTTGATATGGGTCTCCACTGTACATGGGGCCCGAGTAGCTGGGGTCGGAGGATCGCGCCGCATCGCCGATGCATCGACGATGCATCGGCGAAGGCCCGCGTGGAGAAAATCCGCCGCCACATCGCCGATGCATCGGCGATGCCGCGCGATCCTCCGACCCCATCTCGGAGGCCTAGACCAAACCCCTGAGCCTATTCCCCCCTCACGGCGGCCGCTCCTCTGACGCTCCCTTCTCCCACATATGGTAGATCAGCCGGCAAAGCCGCGCGGCGGTCTGCTCGGACTTCGAGTCGCAAGTGACCTGCTGCTGGAACTTCCGCCCGCCGGGCAGCGTTACCCTGCACGGAGCTGGCAGGCTCCTCCTCTTTCTCCGCCTCCTCCTCCTCCCTCCTCCTCCTCCTCCTCGTCCTCCTCCTCCTCATCCTCCTCCTCCTCCTTCTCCTCCTCCTCCTCCTCCTCCTCCTCGTCGCTTCAGCGTCGCGCACATTCGTCTTTACAAAATGCAGCAGTTTCAAGGATGGACGGCGGGTCGTTTTGAAATGGGGATCTCGCCATAGCGCCAGCGCTAAAGTCCCAGGAGTGGTGTTCTGCACCATGTAGGACTCTCGAATAGTATTGGAAATTGAGAGGTGCCCCCATCCCCCTCCAACTCCCCCTCCCCGTTCTCATTTTCTCCCTCCCTCCTCCCCTCCTTCTCCTCCTCCTCTCATCTCTCCGTCTCCTCTCCTCCTCCTCTCCTCCTCCTCCTCCTCCTCCTCCTCCTCCTTCCTCCTCATCATCATCATCATCATCATCATCACACCACCACCAGCAGCAGCAGCATCAGCATCACATCATCATCAGCAGCAGCATCATCATCATCATCATCATCATCAGCAGCAGCAGCATCTCATCAGCAGCAGCATCATAAGCATCATCAGCATCATAATCAGATTCAGCATCAGCATCATCATCATAAGCAGCAGCATAAGCATCATCATCATCATTTTCATCATCATCATCATCATCGTCATCATCATCATCATCATCATCATCATCATCATCATCATCGTCATCATCCTCATCCTCATCATCATCATCATCATCATATCATCATCATCACCACCCACCAGCAGCAGCAGCATCAGCATCATCATCATCAGCAGCAGCAGCAGCAGCATCATCATCATCATCATCATCATCATCACAGCAGCAGCATCATCATCAGCAGCAGCATCATCATCAGCAGCAGCAGCAACATCATCATCATCATCATCATCAGCATCATCATCATCATCATCCTCATCCTCATCCTCATCTCATCATCATCAATCATCATCATCATCATCATCATCATCATTCATCATCACATCGCGTGCTGGCGGGGGGGGCTCCCGAAGGGAATCCGGCAGGGGGGGGGGCGGGCGATCCCATGGGGATGCTCCAGACGTCGGCGCTCAGGACACTGGTGAAACCGTGTTTTTTTCATATACATGTTTTCTATATATATATATATATATATACACATACATCATAGAACCATGCGCGCGCTTCGCGCGCGCTTAGGTTCTAGCCAAGCTCAGGGACTGAAGCTACACATGGAGCAGAACACCGAAAAAAACATACATGCACGAGGACATATGGAGTCAACAAGAGGGGACAGGGGAGGAGGGAAGCCTAAGTGTGTTTCGTTGGGGCGTCGGATGGCCGCGGCCCATACTATTTCTAATAGAATGAACGGGTTCGCGCAGAGTGAGG